AAAAAAAAAAAAAAAAAAAAAAAAAAAGAAATGTTACCTCTGGCCCAGAATAGATGAGGTCTCAACCTGAGGTTTGTAGGATTCCACATACAAAGGGGAGCATTTCAATTAGGAAACATCTCCATTTCATACTCCAGAGAGTTAGATAGCTTACATGATGTTCTCTGGGAAGCCATCCATAGCTCAAAGATTCTAGGTTCTGTTTACCACAAGTAACAGGTAATGTTCCTTAGCCAGGAACATTCTGTTAAGGGCATTTCAGAGATAAGGTCTCTTCTGCCTAGAAAGTAATGTTAATCTTTTTACCCAGAGTTAACAAGGAGAGGTGATGACTGAGTCACTTCTCTTCTTTTTGTCCACCACTCCCTACCCCTGAAATGCCCCTTTCCAAAGAAAGTAAATGAATTGCTGGCCAGCTCTTTCCTTCCGTGATCCTTAGGGAAGATGGAGACAAACACACGTATTGCTGAGCTTCTCTGAAAGCATAGTGGCTGTGATGCTTCATGAAACGAAGCTTTTTGATTAAAAGTTTAGTCAGCAACTCTCTAGAACATGTGGGCAGATTTGGGTTCTCATTTTATTCTACTTGCACACTATTCGCATGCACAGCCTCCCAGGATCATTACTGGGAGGCTAGAGAAAGATTGTTTAGATCTGTTATAATTTGGGGAAGAAATAAAAATTCTACTCTCCCCTCACACACCCCAGAGATTCTGCTGTGTATGTATATTTGGGTCAAATAATTGAGTATTCTGATATGCAAATTAAAAATACTCATTCATTGAGTTTTGTTTTATAAGGCTTTGAGGTAGGAATTTTCTTTAGGCTAAAGATAATATAGGTGGCTGTCTCAGTACTTTGTATCCAAAGCAGTCCATTCTGTAAGTACAAGCTATGTCCACTTGACCTAGTTTAAACTTAATCACTATTTCCATGTTGATATCTAGATGGAAAAATAGGCTATTCCTAAATCTTTGACTAAGCTTAACAATAATAATAATAATAACAACATAATAATAAAGACCTAACCTTTGTAGTATGCTTTAGAGTTTACAAAGCTCTCTCACGTTTGTTGTCTCTTAGCCATATCAGGGGGTCACATATCCTCCAAAGCCTGATTTGAACCACTAATGAGCCAAAACACCAAGTTTAAGAACCCCTAATTAAAACAAAACTCAATTACAGGTTGCAATGGCCCAGGCAAAGAGTATATGATCACAGCCCCTAATGTGTGCATTTGCAAAGTAAGAGAAATTGAACATCAGAACTAATGACTGCATGAGCCTAGCTCTCTTGCTTAGAGCCTAGTTGTGAGGAGACAATGATAAGTATGGGAACAAAGTCTGTTTGTTTTTTTCTACCTTTCATTTTCTAAAAAATATTTTTATTATTTCTATTTATACATATTTATGGGGTACAGAGTTAACTATCAGTATCTGTCTATAGTATGTGATGATTTCCTACCTTTCATTTTAAAAATGGAGCCTTCTAATCAATTGTAATTCATGAAATAATACATATGCTAGTTAGAGGGTCATTCATGTGAGCTTGGTTGGATAGTAGTATACCAAAGAGGGAAGCAGGAGCAGAGGATTTTTTTTTCTTGTCTTGAGTCATAAACACATGTGCAAGGTCATTTGTAAGTACTATTAAATTATCTAGTTTTTATTTTAAAGTGCCAGAAATAAAGATCTGGAAACAAACAAAATGTAATAAATACTATTCAATAAATAATGTTGTGTCTATTGCATATCTATGTCTTGGCTGGTTGGGAAGGAAAAAGGAAAAATGAGAAAGGAAGGGACATAAGAAAAAGAAGAAAAAGATGTGGAGGGAATGAAATGCAGAGGAAGAGAAAATGAAACAGACACTCAGGAAAAGAGAAATAGAGGGATTACAGAAGAACTTTAGAAATAGGGGAAGGATCTAAAGTAGTACTGAATACCTATTCTTATCCTTGCTAGTGGACTCTGTTATCATTTTTAATGACTGTTCTTTAAAATGCTAACTCCGTTAGTGGGGGTGGGGGGACGGGGAGAGATTGGGCAAGGCATAAAGAATAAGTACCATTTATAACAATATATATGCTAGTAATATTGATTTGATCAACATATGTCAATGTTGAACCCCCAAAATATGTGTAATCAGTTATGATTCAATAAAAATTTTAAAAAGAATAATAATAATAAATAAATAAAATGCTAAGTCCCTCTTTGTTCTTTGCCCTTATCCCCTGGAGGAGCCTCAGCAGACCCCACCAGCTGTCCCCGTGAGGAGTCAGATTTCCTAGGACATGAGCCTAGAACTAACCCTGCTTGTTCAAGGATGTCCCAACTAAAACTTGATTATGTTACGAAAAGAAATTGTACGTATAAGGAAGTTCTTCCCTGGTTTGTCCTCAGAGCTGAATGGAAATAACGCAGACAGCAGACTATGTGGCAGAAAAAAGGTTCCTACCCCTTTAGTCGGAATCCTTGGAGTAGCTCTGAGTACTGTTAACTTAATAGCAATCCAGTTTTACTAAATAGAATTAACTGAGTATTGGAAAATTGGGGTTTTTTTCATGTTTTAAGCTTGGATTTCTAATTAGAACAATTTTACTTATCAACTGTGTGAAATTCTTTGACTTAGCTTAGAAAATGCAGAACTGTTAACAAAATTATGACAAATTTAAAGATCTCAATTGGCTTTATTGCAAATCTAGAATCGGGCAATACATTGCTCCATAAAATAGAATATGTATTCCAATGGGCTGAGCAAAAGAAGTTGATTTTATAGACGGAAAAAGGCTGAAGAAAGCAGAAACAAAGAACAAAAAGCAGATAGGTTCTTTCTTTCTTTCTCTCTCTCTCTCTCTTTCTCTCTTTCTTTCTTTCATTCATTATGAATATTCATGAGATACAAAGCTGATTGTCCCCCCTCCTATCCATGATGTGAGGGCCAGATTCATACTAGGGGCATAGCCACTACCAGAAATTACTTTTGTGTACCCTTTGTCCCCTCCCAATTATCCCCCAACTTCCCTTCTCTCCACACCAGACAAGGGACTAATATGCAGAATATACATAGAACTCAAGCAATTATACAATAAAAAAATAAACGACCTAATTAAAAAATGGGCAAAGGAGCTGAATAGACATTTTTCAAAGGAAGACATACAAATGACCGACAGATACATGAAAAAATACACAACATCACTAGTCATCAGGGAATGCAAATTAAAACCACATTGAGATAACACCTCACTCCAGTTAGACTGGCTGTAATCAAAAAGACAATGAATAGCAAATGCTAGTGAGGGTGTAGAGACTGGTCATTTCAAAGTTACTTTCCTTGTAAGGCGAGGACCCGGTCGGGAAGACAGAACAATAGAAAAATAACTGACTAGTTAACATGAGGTGACTTCAGGCCATCTCTTTTCTGTAAGGACTAAAGCAGAAGGAACTTCATTATCACATCTTTTGAAGATTTAAAAACTGAAATGGGCTGTTATCTCTTTCTCCTGATTTCAGGTCAGACCACAACCTCAGTGACCTGGAATTTAGCAGGAATGACTCCATTTTGATTTTTAGTCTGGTCTTTTGGGGCCAGAACTTAGTCCAAAACAATGGCCTCCTGTAATTTTTATTTAACAGAATGTACTGTTTGTTCAGTGAAGCTCATAAACTTATGAGTCTGCCAACTTTTTCATTATTAAGCCTCACTTTCCACCAGTTTTGTCTGCTCAAATGAAAAGTGTCCATGGGCAGTTAATATGAAGGTGGGAGTCATAAACTAAGCACACTGTCTATTAAGTTTTTAAAATAAACATTTTTTTACAGTTTTAGATTTCTTTTGTTTTTTACAGCCATTACATGAGACAGATACTGGAAGCTCTACGCTACTGCCATGATAATAACATAATTCACAGGGATGTGAAGGTAAGTCGTTTTTATCACTAACTTTAATATTTGTGAAGAGAAACTGACAATGATAATAATCAGAATTTTTTTTAATATTCTGTTACTGAACCTAAAGAAGTCCACTCACCTGACATGCAGCTAAAGCTAAACTCTGGACCCTGAGATTTACAGTAGAAAAATCAAGCTTTTTATTGATTGGTACCAGTCAAGGAGAATGGGTGCTCATGCTGTTAAAACCCAAGCTCCCCAGTGGCTTCTGAGCAAGGATTTTTTTATAGAGTAAAAATCAAGAGTTGAGGATCTCCAGATTGTGGTGTGATGTGATTGGCTCAGCATGAAATCAGCATAATTATTTCTGTTATCTTGATGACTCTGTTCTTGATGCCCCAAGTCTGGAACCTACGTGCTCAGCAGCTGACTTGCAGTCAGGGGTCTCTCCTTCAAAACAATCAGTTTCTGCAAAACAAGTTCATCTTGAGCATCAATGATATTATCTTGAGCTCTTTCCAAAGAACCAAATATCTTGTGACCATAAGTTAATGTGTAATGTTAAAATGCAAAGTATTTACATGTGCATTCTCCTGAGTTAGCCACTACTATCTTAACAATTAAGCACATCTTAAGTTCTTGGAATTCCTAGCCAGTTGCCCTTGGATGGGCATAGTTTTCTCTTTACTTCCTTCTTTAGCTGAGACCTACTTCGGCTAAAGCCCCTTTCTTTCCCTTTGTTCATGTACTTAAAGTAGGAGACTTTCAGGAGGCCTCCCTGATTTTAATTTTTATAGAGAGCATCTTAAACTTACTTTTATTTATTCATAAAAATGTATGTAACTGCTTTATATTTGGTAAGTCATTGTACTAATTCTTAATAGGAACACTTTCAATTTCCTTATTTTTACTAAAGTGCACATGCAATCTGAAATTTTATTATTCTTCTTTTGCCATTGTGTGTGTAAGAGAGAGAAAAATGAAAAATCTAACAAATAGGAAAAACTAAACAATATCCTATTGATAACAAAAAATCTGCTCTGACCAGGTTAGCTAAATTATAGTGCCTTGGGAGATTTGGGATAAGCTAACATCCACCTGTCCTGAAAAATGTTGTCATAGGACCATTTTACTTAGAAGCAGCCGTAATGGCATCAGAAAGCCCTAAAGGTTAGGAGGGCTGTCCTTCTACCTTCCCCCTGTGATGTCTCCCTCTTCTTGTGATTATAAAACGCTGAGCTCTGCTGGCCCTTTTTGGAACACATTTCTATTCCAATCTATGTGTCTCCCAGGTTGCAATCATCATATTGGCTTAATAAATCCTTGTGATACGTATTTGGCCTCAGTTTCTTTTTAGGTCAGCACTATGCTGGGTTAAGTGGTTAATTGGGTGGGGGGATTAGAATTGGTTTATATAGTAAAAGACAATCATATACTTTTTCATGATCTTGCAGTGTAGAATAGTCAGCATTGTATTTTCTTTGCAGATAGTTTTTAAACATGGTCTGAAATCACAATTATTGATGTAATGTGGTTTGTACCCTTAGAATATAAATATCATTATTCAGTCTTTCATCCTTTTGGATCCCTATATGGAATTAATAAGAACTTTCAGTCCCTGGCTCTTTAACAGCGTCAAGCAAACATACAGGCAGGCAAGAAGGGAGACCAGTGGGCTTCCTGCCTGGTCCCTCACCCTTCCAAGGCCTAGTATCAAAAGGGAGCCCCTGAGGTCTCTCTGGCTCTGGACTATCATGCTCTGATATTTTTGTCAGATGGCCTCTGCCTAACCCCCAGCATCCACAGACATGATGCTCCTTCCTTCAAGACATATTATTAAAAGCCTGGCTTCTTCAGTGTATTTTAAATGGTTGAGAAAATTACATAGAGTTTAGTTAATATTTCTATAACATTTGAGAAATTTTAACAGAAATTCTTGTAGTTAAAAGCTTAGAGAAAGCAGGAGTAATTTCAAAACCATTTAGCAGAATGTTATAATAGCAAGTGAAAATCATTGGAGAAATGTACAAAATATGCATTAGTGTACATTGGTTGTAAAATATCTTATTTACTCTTTTTAAATGTGGTTATAGGAAAATGATACTGTTACTATCAAAACTTAACACTGAACAACCCAGTGGGTGCTAGCACTTTATTAAAAAGTATTCTTCAGTTATCCAAAGAAAATAACAAATTTGGAAAGGTAAAAGGGGAAAAATTGTCAACTATAGTAGTGTGCTGTGTGATTCTTTTGCTTTTAATTAATGCAAGAAAATGCATATATACAGAGTAAAATATATCTCCTTGTATACATTATCAAATATATACAAGAAAAAATGATCACTTGAAAACTTAAAATGTGTAAAAAACAGATCATTAGTTTATGTAATAGCATTGTGTTAAAAACTATTTTGCTCAAGAGGCAATTTTATTTTGAATGAATTCTCTTCTTGAAAGGTAATAATTGTATCAATATATTATAAATAATGATTGACAACATACTTACTGTAATATTTTCAGTAATACAGTGAGCTTTTGATAAAATGACAACCCCAAACCAAATAAAATCCAAATATATTTGACATCACCTTATTTACCTTCTGGTTTATTTATTCAACAAATATTTGAGTGCCTACTTCATACAGACTACTATGCTTAGAGCTCTAAAAGTATTATGGTCTCAGCAGAGAGATAAGGCAGTGTATCTATTATCTGCTGCTACAGATCAGCACATGCCAAAACTTAGTGACTTCAAACAAGTGCAGTTTATTTGCTCACAATTCTTCATTTTGGGCAGAGCTTGATGGGGACTGCTCATTCTGTTTGCCACGCTCTTGGCTGAGGCGGGATGGCTATTTTCTGCAAAGACTTCTCACTTTTCTGGCATCTCAGCTGAGGAGACTAGAACAGTGGGAGTTGGCTGGGTGCTCTTCATAGTCTCTCATTCACGGCTTGTCTCTCTCCACATGGCCCCATCCCCAGTGGGACAGTGAGTGTCTCAGGGCTCCAAAAGAGCAAAAATGGAAATTGCCAGGCCTCTTGAAGCCTAGGCCCAGAGTTGGCATTGTGTCACATCCTCTGCTTTCTATTAGTCATATTAGTCAAAAAAAAGTTCACAGGTCTAATCTGGGTTCAAGGGAAAGAAAAATAGATTCATCTTTTTTAAATTAAAAAAAAAAAAGATGACCAGTAAGAGGATCTTAACCCTTGACTTTGTGTTGTTAGCACCACGCTCTCCCAAGTGAGCTAACCAGCCATCCCTGTATAGGAATCCGAACCCGTCGCCTTGGTGTTATCAGCACCACACTCTCCCAAGTGAGCCACGGGCTGGCCCTAAAAATAGATTCATCTTTTGATTGGAGGAGCACCAGATGTACACAAGGATGAAAGAACTTGTTGGTGCCTATCTTTATAAATAGGCAAACAAATAATTATTGTACAAGGTAGAGGGTGGTAAGTATCATGAAAACATGGAGTCAGAGGAATTTCACAGAGGTCACGTCGGAGCCTGGTCTTGAGTCATGGAGACATGAGGACATTTTTGCACGGAAGGAATGATGTGTGCAAATGTCCAAAAGTAGTTTTGCATTGGGTTATATTAGATTAGTTTATTATTTCTAAGGTACATGCAAATAATTTTGAGGATGCACCCTGAAACATGCTGAGGAAGGGAAGAGAGAAGTAATTCTGAAACTGCAAATTAATAAGAAACCACCAGAAAAAGCACCATTGTTCAGTTGGCAGGCAGACTCAACACGGAGCACACGTTAATGTTGATATTCTTTATATTTCACTACGTGAAATCTATATATTTTATGTGGATAAATGGAATACTCACATTTAGTTAATTGGCAATTTTGAATTTTGGTGTATTTTTCTTAAGACATTCATCCAAAAGATATTGAGTGCCTACCGTGTGGCAGGCACTGTCCTAGGAACTGGAGCTACATCAACAAACTAAATAGACAATATCACTGCCTTCCTGGGGGTGACATTCTTGTTCAGTGAGACAGATAGTAATCAATAAGCAGAAATAAGGAAACTGTATAGGAGGTTAGAAGGTGTTTGAAAAGAACTGCAGGAAAAAAAATGAGTGGTCAGAAGGCTAGGGAGTGCTAGAGAAGGACTTGCAATTTTCAATAAGGTGGTCAAAGCATGCCACATTGAGAAGATGACATCTGAGCAAGGACTTGAAGGTGGAGAGGGAGTGGGCTAAGCTGATATCTGAGGGAACAGTGTTCTAGGTGAGAGGAACAGCCAGTGAAAAGGCACTAAGATAGGAACACAACTGGCAAGGAGGCCAGTGTGCTTGAGGCAGAATGACCAAAGGGGAGAGTAAATAGGAAACAGAAGTTAATCCTGCCTGGCTCAGACTAGAGTGGTAGCAATGAAGGTGGTTAAAAAAAAAAAAGTAGTTAGACTCCAGATATATTTCGAAGGTTGTGTTAACAGGATTTCCTTATATAACTTTGGTAACTTAGGTAAAACTTAGTTTTACTCAGGACCTTGTTAAAGGGGTATTTCAACATAGTGGTCATTGTAAAACTTCAATAACAATGCATTTCAGATGGCTGATAATTTAAATTTTGCTTGGTTTGTTCGGTTAGTATTTTTGCCAGTAAAGCGGCCTCTCAGCTTTTCCTTGCATTCAGATATATGTTCAGTGACTTGCGTGTATGTAGATTTGATTTGTATGTAGCTTTTGGTTTCTGCAGTTAAAGTTTTTGTCTAAGTTTCTTCCCTTATATGTAGTAAAGAAAATAGAAGAACATTCCAATATCTCATTTCTCTTAGAAAAATTTATATTAATCATCTATTTCATGTAGCCAAGAATATTCTCATATTCTCTCTCTCTCTCATAATTCTTGGCATATTAACCAAAAGCATTAGGTTTCCCAAAGGTCCTACCATTATATTAAGTAGTAGTACTTTTTTTTTAACTTGGTAGGAATTTCTTTTTGAAATCATCATAACTGAATCTTTAAAGGATTGTTTGGTTAGACTTAAGTATGTGTTACCACATAACCTGT